CAGTAAAGCAAAGGTTTTGCTTCAGGTTCTGGTCTCTTCTTAATCACAGCTGATTCTTCAGCCCCAGCTGACCAGAACCCATAGATTCTCAATCTAAAATCTCATGTGAACAGCCCTGATGGTCTCCGCTTCCCTTTGAGGCTTTACAAACCAGGCCTCCATCGTCTACAACTCTTTCAGCATAACTGTTCCAAGCTCCACAGCAACAAACTCTGAACACGCAATGGCTTTTCCAGCCCAAAGTTCCAAACACTTCCACAGTCCTCCCCAAAACACCCAGGTCAGGTCTGTCACAGTGATATTTTTTAAAGATTATGTTTTTTTGTTGTTGTTGTTTTTTTCTCCCTCCACTTTGCATCAGGTTCTATCCTGGGAAACTTTCCTTCCCCGTCTGATGGCAGAAGTCTTTGTTCTGCCCTTGGAGCCTTTCTTTCCTTTCTTTGAGGACTGACTGGGTATCTGGCCCATCTTCCTCTTGCACAATCCTAAGTGCTGGGAGCATGGATGGGCTACAATGCCCTGCCCAGAAACATCTTCTTTGAAGAGGAGATTTGAGACTGGGTCTTACCCTTTAGCCCAGGCTGCCCTAGAACTTTCTATGTGCCCCAGGACTTCAATGGCCACAGGCCAGTCCAATAGAGGCAATTCCCCGATTGAGGCTCCCTCAACCCAGGTGTGTCAAGTTGACACTAAAGCTATCCAGAACAGCAACCCTTTCCTTCACATTTCATTCAGTAACAGTTATTGGAGTGCCTACCTCATGTGACCCAGGACAGCAAGTTCAGCCCTTCTTGGGTCCTCATGGCTGGAGCTGAGCGCAAGGAGTTTTGTTCTTCCGACCATGGAGTTATCAGCTGCACGTCTCCTAGACACCTGTGATGCCAGTATTCTCCATGTGCATGGAAAAGTGGTTCTAATTTGGGTGGCGAAGAGGTTGAAACAGAGTGTGAAGCCAAACCAAAATGAGTAAGAATGAGAGAGCAAGAGAGAGAGAGAGAGACAGACAGACAGACAGAGACAGAGAGACACAGAGAGACAGAGATAGAAATTTGCTTCTTGTTTCCAATAGATCTCTGGCTTTCCATCTCATGAGCCAATAAACTCCCTCTTGTTTAAATTAATTTAAATGAATTGCTTCTTTTGTATCTAAAAGACTATTGATTATACAGAGCTGGTACCGGAAATGGGGTGTTGTGAGCTGGGATGCAGCTCAGTGGTAGAGAACTTCCCAGCATGTGAAAGACCTCCTCGGATTCAATCCCTGGAAAGGTAAAGAGGAGGAAGAGCAAGAAGAGGAGAATGAGGATAAGGAGGAGGAACAGAAGAAGGGGGAGGAGGAATGGGATGTTGTAAACAACAGAATTTAAAAAGAGAACCCACCCAAGTAGTATGAAGAGAAATGAGAAACCATTTCTTCCAGCCTGGGTTATCCTGGACCCTCTGATTGTTCTTCAGGGCTCACTCTACCTCCCTAGTGGTACTAGTGTTTTTAGAGACTGCATAGAAAAACGTCTACTTCTCAATGAGATAGTCTTCTGTGGTCAGCACAACACTGTGAGATAACAGTACTCTTTCTTTTAAACTGGACTGTTAGAAAAGGATGGATAAAATTATTTTGTTAAGAAAGATCCAAAGTCCCAGCACACAGGATGGCTAAGGCAGGTGGATATCTATGAGTTTGAGATCAGTCTGGTCTACAAAGTGAGTTCCAAGTCAGCCAGGGCCACATAGTGAGCCCCTGATTCCATAAAAAGAAAAGAAAGCGGGGTATGGTGGCACGCGCCTTTAATCCCAGCACTTAGGAGGCAGAGGCATGTGGATCTTTGTGAGTTCTAGGCCAGCCTGGTCTACATAGTGAGTTCCAGAATAGCTGGGGCTACAAGGAGACCCTGTCTCAAAAAAAGACCCCCCCCAAAAAAAAAGAAAAAAGAAAAGAAAGATTCAGATTCAGGGCTGGGGCTGAGGCTCAATTGATATAGACCACTTCCTTGACATATATGAAACCCTGATTTTGATTTCCAGAACATTAAAAAAAATTAAGTTTTAAAAATATTTTATTTATTATTTTTATTTTATGTGTATGTGTATATTACCTGTGTGTAGGTAAGTGCACCTGTGTCGTGCAGTGCCCACAGAGGACAGAAGAGGCTGTTGGATCCCCTGGAACTGGAGTTAAGGACAAAAAAAGAACCTGGGTCTTCTGCAAGAACAGTCAGTGTTCTTAACTGCTGAGCCATCTCTCCAGCCCCAGTAAGTTTTTTTAAATGATTCAATCTGGAGAGCTGGCTCAGTGGTTAAGAATACTGTCTGCTCTTGCAGAGGACCTGAGTTCTGTTCCTAGCACCCACAAGGTAGCTAACAACCTTCCATAACTCCAGTTCCAGGGATCTGATGCCCTCTTTTGGCCTCCACAGGCATTGTGTGCATGTGGTACACTTACATATATGCAGGCAAAACACTCATGCGCAAAAAATAAAAATAAATTAACTTAAAAAATCCAGTCTGCTTGTGGCCAGTGATCCTTTATGACTACCGAGGCAAGTGTGTGCAGCTTGCAGTTACAAGTGCTGTTTTCTTTCCTGCATCATAGACAGGAAGAGCCAAGAGAACGAGCCATTCTGCCTATAATCTGCTTTCTGTTTTCTGTCCCTCTGTTCTACTTCCTCAGTGTGGGCTAACTCTCCTAATAGTCCCACCAGCCCTTATGGCTGACAGGAACTCCAGGGACTGATTTTCCCTGCTGAACAGCAGTAAGAAAAAGCAATCCTTGTCTTAGCGTTCCCAGAAAACATCCTGTGATTCACTCTGACTGGGCTTCCACAGTCATAAGCAATCATCTTGACTCTGGAGCTGGAAATACACCGACTGACACACTCCTAGACATGGGAGTATAAATGATCCCAGATTAAATGTCCTGACTAAGAACAGGATGGCAGAGATAGCTCTTCAAAGGAGATTCAGGGTCTCACTCTCTTTATTTTTTCCTTGGATACTGGGGATGGTATCTAGGGCTTTGAGCATTCTAGGCAGGTACTCTATCACTGAGCAATAGCCCCATCCCCAAGATCTCAATCTGTGAACCCCAGATGTTCTTATACCGTGGGAGACTTTTAACCTAAAGAGTAGATAGACAGGCAGAGTTTCTAGACCCATTGCTAAGACAGAAACTACTACAACCAGGTTCAGAATCAAATTTCACGACCAAGGCAATTTTTGGCATTGCTTCCTTGCACATGGCATCCCCAGAAATTGAAATGGCAGACAGCCAAGTGTGTGTCATCAGAGAAATCCCAACCCTGGCAAATAGGGACCTCTGATTGCCCAGCTCTGAGGTTGTTCCAACCCTAATGCCAGGAGGATGTGGGACACTTGAGCAGGACTCTAAACCCTCCCAGGTCTGCCTGTGGAAGACAAAGCTGAGATGAATCCAGACTGGCCCGATTCTGAACCAATAAGATTCATCTGGTCTGGTATAGGTGGACCATTACGTGTTATTTTACCTTTTTCCTTTTGTATATTAAAAACATAAGTTGGGGCCAGTGAGATGGTTCAGAGGATGAAGGTACTTGCCACCAAGCCTGATGACCTGAGTTTGATCCCTGGCCTTTACATGGTAAAGGGAAAAAACCAACTTTTGAAAGTTGCCCTCTGACCTCCACAGGAGTACTGCAGCACACACGCAACAACCACATTCACCACATACATCATACACATACAAACATACACATATATATACATATATATGTTGTTATGGTTTGAATATTTGTCTCCTTTGAAATTTACATTTAAACTAGACTGTCATTGCAGTAGTGGTGGTGGACAATGGAGCCTTTACGTGGTGATTCAAAAGGGTGAATGCCTTTCTCACAGTTGTAGATTAGATATCACAAGAGTGGGTTGTCTTTGGGCTGGAGAGATTGCTCAGTGGTTAAGAGCACTGTCTATTCTTGCAGAGGACCCAGGTTCAGTTCCCAGTGCCCATAGGTGGCTAACAACCATCTGAAACTCTAGTTCCAGAGGATCTGGTGGACTCTTCTGGCCTCCATGAGCATTGCATGTATGGGTGTACCTACATACATGCAGGCAAACCACTTATACGCATAAATGAATTTTTTTTAAAATTGTGGGTCTGGCTCCCATTCTTCTAGCCATTGCAGTGCATTGAGCTCCATAGAGACAGCACTGGGGCAAATGAGAGCCGGATGGGCACTGGGTGACTCTGTGCCTCTCTGAGGAAAACAACTGAATCTGGGCAAAGGAGATCCTGAGAAGCCGAGAGGCAAAATGTCATCGTATGCATTCCTTGTGCAAACTTGCCGGGAGGAGCACAAGAAGAAGCACCTGACGCTTCAGTCAACTTCTCAGAGTTTTCCAAGAAGTGCTCAGAGAGGTGGAAGACCGTGTCTGCTAAAGAAAAAGGAAAGTTTGAAGACAGGGCAAAGGCTGACAAGGCTCGTCATGAGAGAGAAATGAAAACCTATATCCCTCCTAAAGGGGAAACAAAAAAGAAGTTCAAAGATCCCAACGCACCCAAGAGGCCTCCTTCGGCTTTCTTCCTGTTCTGAGCATCGCCCCAAATCAAAGGAGAGCGTCCCGGCTTATCTGTTGGGGATGTTGCAAAGAAACTGGGAGGGATGTGGAGCAGCACTGCTGCAGAGGACAAGCAGCCTTAGGAGAAGAAGGCCGCCGGGCTGAAGGAGAAACACGGAAAGGATATTGCTGCCTAGAGAGCTGAAGGAAAACCTGATGCTGCAAAAAGGGGGTTGTCAAGGCTGAAAAGAGCAAGAAAAAGAAGGAAGAGGAGGAGGATGAAGAAGACGAAGATGACAAATAAGATTTAACCCCCTGTACACAACTCACTCCTTTTAGAGAAAAAAATTGAAATGTAAGGCTGTGTAAGATTTGTTTTTAAACTGTACAGTGTCTTTTTTTGTATAGTTAATGCACTACCAAATGTGTCTTTAGATAGCCCTGTCCTGGTGGTACTTTCAACAGCCACTAACCTTGCCTGGTACAGTGTGGGGTTGTAAACCGGCATGGAAATTTAAAGCAGGGTCTTGGTGCACAGCACGGATTAGTTATATGTGGGGACGGTAGTTTTTCTCATCTTCAGTTGGCTCTGATGCAGCTTGCACGAAAATAATTGTTCTGTTCACTGAATACCACTCTGTAATTGCAAAAAAAAATTGCAGCTGTTTTGTTGACATTCTGAATGTTTCTAAGTAAATACAATTTTTTTTATTAAAAAAAAGTTGTGAAGAGTGGGTTGTCATAAAACAATCCAAATTCCTTTTGCTTTCTACTTGTATTTATTTTCTTGCCATTTTACTTTCTAGCATTCCATGGTGCACCTACCAGATGGTGCTGATGTGTCCTTGTGAAAGAGAGTGACTCTCAGACCCCCTCCCTGTCCTCTGAGAAAAAGCTGCCCTCCGTCTGACTCTGGAAATCCCCTCCATTGTTCAAACCCTTTCCTGGTACGTCTATTTATGGTTTCTATGGAGATAGTTGGGGCAGAAGAGGAAGAATGGTCTGCCCCAGGTAAGCTAGCCAATGGCTGTATAGGTTAAGGCTCTGGAAATCAGCCATAGATTGTTCAAATCCTTTCCTGTTTCTTCTGTTTATGGTTTCTATAGAAATCCCCTGCTCTGTGGTTTTTGTGCTTAAAAGCCCTGTGTTTCCATGGCTCTGGGTCGCAGTGCAGCTCCTGAGCCTGCCTGCATCCCTGGACCATTGGTTTCAATAAAGCAGTGAAGTTCTCCTGAGTCTCAGTGTCCGAGTGGTCAATTCAGGGAATTTTTCAGACCCCAAACACTTGGACATCCCAGTTTCCAGAACCACAAGCTAAATGAACTTTTCTTTATAAGTTACTCAGTCTCAGGTGTTGTTATAACAACAGGAAATAGACCAAAACCTAAGTATTCATTTATATGAAAGCAAACCACTGAGGGTTATGAAGTGAAACCATCTGTTTTAGGCTCTGACCTCTACTTCTAGCCTGGCAAGGTGTATCCTTTAGAATTAGGGATGGAAGTTGGCCATGGTGGCTCATGTCTTTAATCCCAGCATTCAGGAGGCAGAAGCAGGTGAATCTCTCTGAAATTGAGGCCAACCTGGTCTACATAGTGAGTTCCAGGCCAGCTGGGGCTACAGGGACAACCTGTCTCAAAATAAATAAATAAAAATAAAATAAAATAAAAAGAGTTAGGAATTGAGAATTGGAAGGATGACTCAGCAGTTAAGAGTGAGTGCTGCTTTTAAGGAGGACCCAAGTTTGGTTCCCAGCACCCTCATCAGGCAGTTCACAACCATCTCTAACTTCAGCTCTAGGGGATCCTAAACCTCTGACCTCTGCAGGCACCTGTACTCACATGCATACAGCTGCACATACACATAATTTAAAAAATTATTTTTGAAGAGTTAGGGATAGTGGCTGGGGAGATAACTGATAAGGCCGGGGGATCTGATACCCAGGATACCCAGCACCTGAATAGAAGTCGGGCATAGTGGTGGCACATGTCTGTGATTCCACTACTGGGGCATGAGGGGAAGACAGGAGGACCCTGGGGTTGGTTTGTCAGCAAGACTAACCCTATCAACAAGTTCAGTGAGAAACCCTGTCTCAAAAAATATGGCAGAGGGCCTGGAGAAATGACTGAGCAGTTAAGAGTGTTTGTGGCTCTACTAGAAAACCTGAGTTCAGTTCCCAGCACCCAATTTTGGCAGCTTGCAACTGCATTTAACTCTAACTCCAGGAGATCCAATACCTTTTTCTCTTTTCCATGTATGCACATAAATAAAAATAAATCTTAAAAAAACATGACAGAGAAATTGAAGAAAAAATGTCAACCTCTTGCCTCCACATACACTCATACAACCACATGCATGTAACACATACACACTCAAAATAAAATTAAAATAAACAATTTTGTCAGGCGTGGTGGCGTGTGGCTTTAATCACAGCTCTTGGGAGGCAGAGGCAGGTGTATCTCTGAGTTCAAGGCCAGCCTGGTCTGCATAGTGAGTTACAGGCCACTGGGGCTACAGGGAGACCCTGTCTCAAAAAGACCAAAAATAAAAAAATAAATAATTTTAAAAGTTAAAAAAGGGGAACATCGGAGAGATTGTTTAGTGGCTAAGAACACTTGCTGCTCTTGCAGAGGACCTGGGTTCAGTTTCCAGTGCCCAAATGGAAGCTCACAGCTATCTGTATCTCCAGTTTCAAGGGATTCAATGTCCTCTTCTGGCCTCAACAGGCACTGCATGCACAAGGTGCACTTATATACACTCAGAGAAAACACTCATACACATAAAATAAAAATAGTTTTTAACAATTAGTGTGTGTGTGTGTGTGCACGTGCATGCGTGCGTGTGTGTGTGTGTGTGTGTGTGTGTGTGCGCGCGCGTGCGCGTGCACAGACCATTGTCAGTATATGGAAATCAGAGGACAACTTATGGAAGTCAGTTCTCTCCTTCCACTATGTGGGTCCCAGGGATCAAACTCAGGTCATCAGTCTTGAAGGAAAGTGCCTTTACCCACTGCGCCATCTTGCCAATCCATAAATCTTTTTCAAAAAAGTTTTATTTATATTGCCTGCATGTATGTGAGTGCACCCGTGTCGTGCAATGCCATGGAATTCAGAAGAGGGCTTCAGATTCCCTTAGAACTAGAGTTAAGGACAGTTCATAGCTGCCATGTGGGGGCTGGGAGTTGAACCTGAGTCCTCTGCAAGATCAGTCAGTGCTCTTAACCGCTGAGCCATCTCTCCAGGCCCCATAAATAAATCTTTTTAAAAAATATTTTATGCTGGGCGTGGTGGCGCACGCCTTTAATGCCAGCACTTGGGAGGCAGAAGCAGGCAGATCTCTGTGAGTTAGAGGCCAGACTGGTCTACATAGTGAGTTCCAGGCCAGCTGGGGCTACAGGGAGACCCTGTCTCAAAAAGGACCCCCAAATTTTTTTTATTATTTTATTTTATTTATTTATTTTTAAATATTTTATTTATTATTTTTATTTTATGTGTATGAGTGTATTGCCTGCATGTAGGTAAGTGCACCTGTGTCGTTTGCCTTGCCGGAGCCCCAGCTATCTCCTGTATTTTTAGCTGCCACTTATTGGGTACATCTCAAACTCATCTCCATAGCATATGCCTTTCCCTTCACCTCAAGATCCCACTGGGCAGCTTTACCCGAGGGACCTACAGCCACCTCCTTACCCTTCACTTTATGTGTGCCAGTCTGGACTCTCCAGTTCCTCTCCCCTCATCCTCCTGTGTCCCTCTCTTGGGGGACTCTGCAACTGTTTTCCCCTTTTCCTGAATCCGAAGTCAGTGGCTTCTAAAGTCCATGCTTTTAAATGCGATCACCTCTCTTGGAACTGCCTTCACCTTTTCTCTTTTTGGCTAATTCTCCCTCATCTTCCATAACTCGATGGAAGAGTCACACTTTGGGCAAAGTCTGTTCAGATCTCTTTCTGCCTCCTTCCGGGCTGGGTACCCTTCTCTTGGGTTCCCAATGTACCTGTCCAGTCCCTGTATCCATCCTCCTGCACACCATTTGAAGGTGGAGGCTGGCTCCCCAGCATAGAGCATTTGGCATATCGACGTGGCAGCCTGCATTTCTTGCTGGGCAGCTTGCGTCTATACGCTTGGTAAACATCATCCCATCTTCTCTAAAGACCCCGGGTCCTAGCTCCGAGGGTTCTTTTATTTGTTTGTTTGTTTGTTTCAAGACAGGATCTTGCTCTATACCCCAGTCTAGACTCCAACACACAATCCTCTCGCCTCAGCTTCCTCAGTGCCCGGATTACAGGCATACACTACTGTACCCTGCTATTCCACATGATCTTAAAGAGCTGTGAGTTGTGGGGTTCCTCCTGCCTCTGTTTCCTCTACAAAAGCGGACATGTGACCCAGCTGGGTTAATTATAGTCTCCCATGCCTCTAGCCACAGTGCTCTTTAGACCCACAGGTCTCATTTGGACTCTGACAGTGTCATCCCCAGTTATGTGAATGAACACATTCCCTTTTTATTCGAACCGGTCCCATTGGGTCTCTGCCACTTACAACTACGAGAGCTCTGACTGAAAGAAAGCTCGCTCCATAAACGCTTAAATGAAAGCATTAATAAATGAAATGGACCATCTCCAGTACTTCCTGCCTATCCTGCTCCCTGAGTGTGGTGAGGTATTTGGGCATGCTCAGAAGGGGCGATTCCGTTCCTTAGCTTCACTTACGGTTCTAGTCTGAACTCTACCTCTCTGCAGATGAGACCTTTGTGTACTCTGGCCCCAACTTACCCAGCAAAACTCCTGCCTCCTTCCCAGGTACCCTGTGCTATAGCTGTGGAAAGGCTTGCATTTCTGAACCTGCTCTGTGCTCAGACTGCAGGTCTCTACATGTGCCTTAACTGCAATGCCCTTCTCCCCACTGGCTCATCTCTGCCACCCTCTAAGACAATTCCCAGGGCTTCTCCTACAAAGCCTTCCCGCCCACCCCAGAGGAGCCTAACCTCCTTTCTGCAGTTACCACCTCCTCTAAGACGACCAATTGACAGGACAGTCATGCTGACTCACAGCCAGGTTGACTCACCGTTCTTTCTCTACTGCCAGGGTCCCCCGAGGCTCCTTACCCACCTTTGCAGCAGTGGCTGCACACACCCACGGCACGCTGTCAGCAAGCACGTGATGAGTGGGTGAGCTCTTGGGAAGAAGCTTCATTTCCTCTTCTTGACCTCTCATACCCTCAGATTTCAGGTTTCAGCAGAGAGGTGAGCTCTGTGATTTCCTCCCAGGACACTCTTGAGGAGCAGCATGTGGGTGAGAAGGCATCTTGG